ATCAAAGATAAATATTTGGTTCCATGCCATATTTTGTACTTTTTGACTAGAATAAATCAATTATCCACAAATCATTTCACGTTCATCATTTAAAATACACACTTAGTGCTAATATATTGCAAAAAATCATTTCTCAACATGAGATTGGCTGAATTTAATTTACTAATTCGTGCAAACGAAAATGGGTAGAACAATATGCTCTTCAGCGACTTCACTCTTGACATGGCAACATAGGTCAATCCAAGAGCAAATTCTTTCTCACCAATGTGGACAACGGCCTAAAAAAAACAAAGAAAAATGAATAATAATCCTCCAAAACAAACTTTGCATTAAAACCATAATATATACCTTTGGCAAAGTGAGTCCTTGTGATTTGTGAATAGAACATGCATAGCTCAATGCAATTGGAAATTGAATGCGCGAAAGTGATTCATTATGTTGATTAGTCCAACTGCTGAACATGGTAGGCACCGGCACTATATTTGAACCTGGTATTATTGATGGGCCAGTATATGTATCAAATTCACACAATAAAACTGTGGGATGATTAATGGAAACTTCAGTGTTCACATTATACAATATATCAACAATTTTACCCATAGCACCATTCACTAAACCTTTAGCCAACCACAGATTTGTTCTTAACATAATATTGCAACCCTTAGCTAAATATAAATTCTGTTCAAGTCCTTGAGCTTCATCAGTTGTAGCTTTTTTAGCTTTAACACAATTTGTTCTGGCTTCAACTTTCAAAACTGGAACTACATGATTGTTTGAATCCTTCAATTGACCTAATTTCGATATATTGAAATTTCGCACCTCTTCTTTGGTTGCAAATAAATGCAGTGCATCTTTGAAAGCATCATCCTCAAATGTAACTCCCTTCATTCTGGTCTTCAAAACTTCAAAATCTTCCTTCGTCACACCACCTTCACTAATATTAGTCAGTATATTCAAAAATTGATTGTCAGTTTGCCGATGAATTTTATTCAATACAATACATGATTGAATATTTCTCATTGCATTGTAACCACATTGGGATAATGCACACTTTTGATTATAACTGTAAATTGGTCGATCCTTTACTGGCGGCAATTGTTTTATATCACCAAAAAAATATGTATATAAACCACCAAAATCTTCATCATAATTACCAGTTGCTTCCTTACAACGCCTATTAATCATACCCATCATTCTACTACCAATCATAGAATATTCATCTAAAATTAAAAATTTCACATTTTCAAATTCATTGGTCAACTTCCTCGCCTGTTCACCCATTAATGGTTTGAAGTTTTTACTTTCTCTTGGGATGCGAAAGATGGAGTGCACTGTTTTGCCTTTTATCAATAGAGCAGATACGCCTGTAGGAGTACCCAATACATAAGACTGCTTTCCAAATTTCTGGGTCAATACTTTGGTAATCTCTGCAATTACCAAACTCTTTCCAGTTCCTATCAAATAACAAAAAAAACACTATTACAAACAATAAAACTCAAATTAAACAAACACACATAACTTCTATCTATTGCAAATTTCATTATTAATATACTAAATATAACTACTAACCGGCTTTGCCTTGCACTATACATGTCTTAATAGTATCAGCACATATGTCACTACTCTGATTGCATTCAATGGATTCAATTTGCTTCATAACTAATTGCAATACTTTCTGCTGATCACAACTGAGAGTGACATTCAAATTAGTTGCAAACATACTATCATCTACTTCAACATTACTTTCAGATTTTTTCTTTTCTTCTCTTATAAAATTCTGAAATTCTTCTATGGTTCCATATTGTTTGTACAACTCAAATGAATCCATCCATGGATAATTTAAATCTACATGCCTCTTTCCTAATTCAACTTTGTCAATTCTACCACAACCCATACTGGAACATACCATCCATTCTTCATTGGTCTCATTTTCCAATTCGCCTTCATAAAAATTACTAACAAATTCATCAATATCTTCCTCTTCTTCTTCAACACCATTATCACATATTACATTTTCTAATAAATCAGTAATTCCAGGAACATTACTCAAACCATGTCTATTATAGACATCACTCCAAGTTTCATTCTCATCCCTTAAATTATCTTCATTTCGCCATGGAACATGTAAAAATACTTGTTGTTCGAAATACTTATCATTATCATCATCTTTCTTCAAATTAACAACAGGAAAAACTCGAACTATATTTTCTGCATTCTGTGGTAGCAATTTCCACTTTAAAGCATTATATTTCTTAGCAGCATCCCATAATGACACATTTTCCATAAATGCAGGTCGATCTATGTATTTTTCAATAAATGATTTGCCACTTGCACAATCACTTTCATCTGATATTTCATTTAACAGTGGACACCATCGTTTATTATTGAAATTAACAATAACAAATGCTCTCTTACCACTAGAATGCAATTTCAATCCCAATAAAATATGACTTACTTCCTGAGCACATATGTCACGTTCAACACAAGCTTTAATAAAAAAACGTTGAATGGCACGCACACATTTGCTATCATCATTCATCGTATCCAAAATTCCTTTCATCAAATCAGATAAAGAAATTGATGACACTTCTGACTTGGAAATATATTTTGCTAAATATGCCAATAATCTCTTTTTACTGATAACAGGTGCGATGTCCATATTAGCCCGCCACAACTGAATTATAAATTGATTGTATTTATTCAACCTGTCATCATTTCTTGAATTCAATTTCCCCATCTTCCTTTGCAATACACTTTGGTTCATTATTCAAATCCAAAATGGGGAATCCAAATCTGCACTTACTTTCCTTACTCTTTTTGTTGTATTTAATACAATACTCAGTTGAACACCTGGTATGTCTTTGAACTGTGTTCAAAAGCTGGGCAAGATCTGTCTGAAAATCGGTAACATTCGCATATAGTTTTCTGCAGGGATGATCATCGTCTCTCTCTGAATGCGTGTCTGGATTGATTGCTGATATAAGATCCTTAAAATAATCTACAATCACATCCAATTCTTCTTGTGTAGCATTCTCAATGTTATCACAATTGGGTGCATTTTCAAACCAAAAAACCCCATGTAAATGTGCCGAACCACGATGTTGATATTCAATGCGATACCAATAATCAATTACTTTGTACTTCTTCATCATTACCTACAAAACATAAACAGATTACATAAAGATAATGACACTTGTTATATCAACAACATAATAATTATATTGAACAAATCATTACTTACATGCTTCAAAAATGCATTTACTCTCATTGCAAAAAATTCATCAACAATTTGTGGATTATCTCTCAACAATTTATGTCTTTCATATTCTCTCAAATCAGATAAATCCTCCTTCCCAGTGAGTAATCTATACAAATCATTCCAATGTAAGTCGGCAGCACTCAAAGTTAAAAAAATTGTTGGCATATGTAACTGGTTGACCATATCACGCAATTCTCCAGCTCGTTGATGCCAATACGCCTTAGTTCCTCTTAAATTTTTGCCATGAAACATAATTTTCTTCAAAATATTTGGATTATTGTTCAAGATTTCTTTCAATTGATCGACTGTCATATGTTTAAATTCCTCATTTTGTTTCACATATACATTTCCATCAGTTAATGCAGTCCAACGCATCCATGAATTATAAGCAAAAAAACGAAACGTTTTATGCTTGGAAAATCGTTCATCCCGATAACGCAATAAATGTCTAAAATAATTAGATGCACTCACTTCCTTTTCATGCCAATCCCTCAAATCAGCTTTACCAGAACAAAACAATGTGGGAAAAGCACAAGCAATGTAACCTGGTGTGCTATACTCATCTATGGGTTGAGGTTCCAATGAAGGCCATTTCAGGTAATTCTTTATCTGTTGATCCTGATGTGGAAACACAACATCAGAAACAACTGTGCGATATTCATCATTAACAATGCATTCGTCCACATTTGCATCAACATCAGCAGTGATTTGATTAATTTCAATTTCATGATTATCCAAATATGATTGAATTTCATTGGACACATTGCTATCTTCAGGTAATAAATTTAAGTTATCTTCATTAATCAATATATCTTGATAAAACTTGTTATTCTGCTTCAACCACAGTAATGCCGCTCTGACTTTATCAGCTCTCACATTGAAATCATGATACGTGTTATCTTCACCTTCCTTCCTCACAATGATTACTGAATTTAATTCTGTAATCTTCATAGGCAATTCATTAACAAAATTATCAATTTTCTGAGAAAAATTAATAACATTCTTCCGATACCCATACTGCCCATTTCTGGTTAACATATATACTGAAATGAGTGGATGAACTCTGGCAATAAGACGTTCTTCAATAAAAGTTAAATCTTGCAATTGTACAGGCACATCTCCAGGATCCATATTATTTAAACCACAATACTCCCAACACTTATCTCTATGTAGACATTTAGTTTCATCATCTCCCTTCACTAAAAATTTCTCTTTGCAAGATTCACAATGATTCCACTTCAAATTCTTCATTTCTTCTTCAAAATCAATTGCTGCCTTCTTTGTTACATCAAAACATAAAGACTCATAATTATTTTCAATCCACCTTCTTAGATTCAAGCGATATTGTTCCATGCTCTCTTCAGACAAACTGTTGTCATGACACATGGGAACTGCATTTGACATTAACTTATTTACATTCTGGTAATTGAAAAACTTATCTTCAAAATGATCCTTACATACGAAAAACTTTTCATTGACACACTTTGGATCACATAACAATAAGTTCTCATTACCAACATTCTTCAACCAAACCAAAAACCTGTAAACACAATGATTCGCATAATTATTCCAATTTCAAGTACACCGTACACAACTTGTAAACAAAATTCCTGACTTTGATACAACTAATAAATCAACCATAACAAAACACACCTGTCCAATTTTGTCTGATCTAGTTGCATAACACCATTAACTTTCCTAATCACATTAGGAAATCTAAACATTACTGAATTCCTATTGCTTCCATGACATGAAGTGTAACAACACTTTTGCAATTTACTATAAGAAGGAATTGATTCCAAAATATTAACATTTTCTTCCAATTCATTAACAAGAACAGGCGGCAGATCCTAAAACAAAACTATGTTAAACACATAATACATTATATGCAAACAAGACATTACCAATGTTTTCCTTACATCTTGACTTGCCACATTCTTCTCTTCATCTTCATCAAATTCTGCTATTTTATTTGACAAAATGTGAGAAATCTTCCAAGCCATATCATATTTGTGCATCACTTCTTCACTTAAAGACTCATACTGAAAATGAGTTGGAATGGCATTAACTTTCAATATCGAGATATTACGTTTGTAAAATGAATCTCTTGAAAAATGCTCTTCACATACAAAAACTTTTTCAAATAATTTTGTTGGATTGCAATTCAATAATGCAGGATTACCACATTTCCGAAGCCATTCCCTGCATCTACATAGTACAATTAGAATACCACAACAACAGATAACAAAAACAATTTAATACAAACAAATGAACTTACTTCTGCACCGCCCGCGTATTAATACCCACACCATCTTTCTTAAATAAATTTGGAAATGAATATAATCTTTCATAAATGTTTGTACATCCTCGCACACAACATTTCTTAACAATATCAGTACTGTTAACATTTACAACATTTCCATGAAATATCGCATTATCACTATTTACTTCCATTACTTCAGTTACTACATCAGTACCCAAATGATCATCATTTATTTCCATTACTTCATTTACTACATCAATACCCAACTGCTCATCCTGTAAATATATTAATCACATAATTGATGTTAAGTTATCAACACACAACATAAACATTAATCACACACACACAATTTACCTCAGTAATATCAATAATATTCTTCTCCATATATTCAACAAATGAATCCTCATTAAACGAACAAATGTTCCATCCACTATCATAAGCACTCATGGCTTCTTCGCTTACGGGGTTACAATTGAAAACAGTTGGCATAGCACACTTCTTTAAACAATCCATGTTTTTAGAATTGAATTGATCAACGCCAAAATGATTGGCACACATATAAAAGTTATTGTGCACATTACCAGGATTTACATTTAATAATCTTAAATTTCCAGACAATCTAATCCATTCTCTCAACCTGAAACAAATAAAATTATGCACATACAATTATTACACTTTAATAAGTAAATCGTAACTTCATTGCACAACTATATATACTAACCGTTCAAGACCAGCCTTATTCAAAACCTTCTTCCCATTCATTTTCCTAAAAATATAAGGAAATGGATACAATTTCCCACAAACATTGGAGGACTGACAATTCACTACTGAACAAACTCTTGTTACTAATGAATTCCCTACCTACAATTAAAATACAAATTAAAAACTCATAATCAAAATCAATTAATTTGAAACAATGTACAAACCAATACTTACATGCGTTGGCTTGTCATTAAATTGTGATTCCCATCGGCTAACCTTAGGAAAATCTTGAGAACCCACTCGAACCTCAACAATATCAGAAACAACACCCAGTTGCATTTCATACGATTCATTTTGAAAACTTTCAATTTCACAAATTGCATCTCCAATAGAAATGTGGACAATAGAAGTGTGAACAATAGAACTTATTGCGCCAGCCATAATCAACAATAACTTCCAAAAACACATCTCCATATTATACAATGTTCACATCGACCTTACAACATATTCATGAATAAAACAAACATTATCCTTAACCTGTAACCAATAAATAAAATAAACTATAACTTAACAACACTCCATAAAGAAACAAATCATAACCCACAAAATATAATAACAAACCTTAACTAAATTGCTGCAAACCTTCTTATCTGCTTTGATTTATTTACCATCAACGTTCTAAAACAAACTAATCACTTTCATTTTAAAAAGGTGCCCTCCTCCATGATCAAACTTTAAAACCAATAATCTATTTCCATGTTTCACAACTACTCTTGACAAATGATAAAATGACTGATGAACTAACTCCAGAACAACGGTTAGGATTTTGAATCGACCACGTGAAAACACACAAGACCGCCGACATAACGACGTGCACCAACCACATAACGAAAAAGTAAATCACAATCGTATAATAAAAAAAGGTTACCTGCGTGCATGTATTTCAAATTCAACATAAAACTACACGAATATAATAAAAGAATGCACATTTAACACTTTAAACATCAAACATGATTACGTGACTACCCAAACATAAAACAAACGGAGTTGTCTCATTTTTTCTTTCAAATTCAATGTTAGGTTGGCAGCAACCTGTTTACCAAACTTTTCAGCTCTACATGGTGGCTTCGTTCTCTCGTGAAGTATAGTACCTTACAGTATAGTTTATTTTGGTTTTCACTCAGCCAATCAAGTCATAATAATTTGCAATCAAATCAGCAAATCTCTAGCTTTGTGTGCCACCACCCCTTGCTCTACCGTGACAATCTCGTGTTTGAATTTTGTCTGCTACCAACCTTCCGGTCCGAAAGTGACGAATGTCAGTGTATGCATGTAGAATCAAGATACAGCTCTGAAAATGATTTTCGTGGGCTCTGTGTACCTTTAAATTCCACCTTGTACACATTTACAAGCCTTTAAACGTCATCTCAAATTT